GTATTTGTGTATTTTGTCTATTTGTCTACACAATATACCCAGTCGCCCTTGCCATCGGGGAATACCAAGGACCCTTCCCGATTCCGACGGGCCAAAATATAGTATTTGTTGAACAATCTCCCATGCATACATACCTATTTGCTGCAGACTAAGCCCTATTTGTTCGTTATTTGCTATTTGTTAACTAGCGTGTTTGCTACAAATCGAGCAGAGTTTAGATGGTTTTAGTAGGGTATATAAGAATACTTATATAAAGTAACTAACTATAGATTCAACATGGTTGGCAATATGAACCAAAGATAGAGTTATACACTTGGACATCTACAAGATACTCGAGTTGTTATATTCGAAGCTTCTCGAATCTTCGATTGTTCCAAAGTCGCACACGTCAAGACTAGATGGGTGACGTCAGCCACCACATTCATCACTAACATGTTACGAAGTACATTCATACATGTTATGTATGTTCTTTTGTTTTATTTCTTCTTATGATCTTGACCTTGACATTGACCTTTTCTTATTCCTTTTAACTCTGGATTCTCCCCATTACGCACGATCGGCCTTTCCGCTTCGAACATTCTACTGCATTCACGAAGTGTACACCGCACACTCTGTCATTTCCCACGCAGGATTCCTTTTCCTGTTAAGAAACCACCGTTTGTTTATAAGCGTGCATCTTCGATTTGAGGCCCACGGCTTTTGAACTGCTTTTTACTTTTTTTTGTCCTTTTTTTGATAAACCCAATCTTACCCCGCACTATGGTTGCCGAGAGCAAGCTCTACGACGCCTTGAGTGTCAAGCCTGATGCCACTCAAGATGAGATTAAGAAAGCATACCGCAAGGCAGCATTGAAGCACCACCCAGACAAGAACAAAGACAACCCTCAGGCTGCTGAGAGATTCAAAGGCACATTACCCCGCACAGCTTCGATTTCCTAGATATGACTAACAGTTTCTTAACAGATGTCTCGCAAGCCTACGAAGTCCTATCCGATCCCGAAAAGCGCAAGACCTACGACCAGTTTGGCCTTGAATATCTGATGCGTGGTGGCCCCGCACCGCCCCCGCCAGGGGGAGGCGGAGGCGGCGCAGCTGGCTTTGAGGGTGGCATGCCCGGAGGATTCAACTTCGGTGGAATGCCCAGCGGCGGAGGAGGCCGGAAGTTTCACTTCTCGACCGGTCACGGCCCTGGTGGGTTCCGTTTCAGCGATGCCAACGACACCTTCCGCACCTTTGCCAAGGGCGGCGGCGGTATGGGTGGTATGGGTGGTATGGGCGGCAGGGATGAAGATGATATTTTCTCAATGTTCGCAGAAGAACTTGGTGGTGGCGGCGGGGGCGCTGGCTTCCGTGGCAGCCGTCCGGGATACTCCAAACCGAAACGCACACCTACACCCGAGCCAACTATCGTCGAGAAAGAGCTGCCACTGACTTTGGAGGAAATATACAAGGGTACCTCCAAAAAGGTCAAGACGAAGAGCAAGGCCTTTGACAGCATGGGCAAACTCACTAGCAAGGAAGTGACCTTGGAAGCCAACATCAAGCCTGGGTTGCGTGCTGGCTCGAAGATCAAGTACAGAAATATCGGAGATCAGGAAGAGGGGGGACGGCAGGATGTTCATCTGATTGTAAAAGAGGTATGAGATCGCTTCTGGCTGTGACAAATACACTTGACGAACCATTACTAACAACCATTTACAGATCGATCATCCTACTTTCAAGCGTTCTGGTGACAATCTTATCACATCGGTGAATCTCAGCCTGAAGGAAGCATTGACAGGCTGGGAACGTATTGTCCGCACTATCGACGGAAAGTCCATTCGCGTGTGTAAGCCCGGTCCAACCCAACCTGGCCACGAAGAGCATTATCCCGGTCTGGGCATGGTGAGCTCCAAGAACCCCAGCAACCGCGGCGACTTGATTATCCGTGCCAATGTCAGTTTCCCCACTAGCTTGACTAGCTCCCAAAAGGACCTTCTCCGAGATGTGCTGCCTTAAGAGGACTTAATTTGATTGCATATACCTGGCGTTTGGGGTGAAAGGGGAGTATTTAATGACAGTGCCATGACATGAACCTTTACGATGTTTCTTTCGATAATATTTTTTAATTTGGCAGGATAGTGTTTATGTATGAATATAAGGTTGCCCACCTAGGCAGGTGAACGAGTCGTGACCACATAACGTAATATGCATTTAGTCCAATCATACCATCCCTTGGCGTAACCCGCACTACCCGCAAGCGGTAAGAAAGGAATAGGCCAATAAGACAACACAAAACAACCTTATTCATCCATGAGTGATGACTAAGAATATCTGTGTATGTCATATTAAATCCGAACAATAGCATCTAACGCGAAACTATTCTTGCATAAAAGAGGATAGTCAGCATAATCCGAGCTATTTTATCACAATATACACTCTGGGTACCGACTAATTCTGTCAAGAGAGACCAGAGAAATGGCATCTAAATTTTCCAGTTAGTCCAGTATGTGCCTTGCCGGTTTCCAGTCTACTGACCGAATCTGGTGCAGCCTCCAACTGTCCAAGAAGCTCTGATTCTTCTATGGAATTCAGGGGGTGACTCTTGCAATTCCCTTTTTTGATACACTTATGGCACCATAGCAGTGACTCTAAAGTATCAATGAGACTCGCCAGCTGCGTTTGATTGAGGGTAATCAATTTTCTCTTATCAAGGCTGACAATTTCTCCTACACAGAGAGACCCTACGAATTCATATGAGAACAATTAATTAGCAAGATGAACTGCAAACAATTTTCACAAAGAAACCCAAAGAACTCAGAACTCACCAGTGCCTGCGGATATACTCTCATTGAAGCCTAATGGGAACATTGGGGGGGGGAGCATTTCCTCTTAAGATTGAAAATTCTTGAGCGTCGTTCTCACAACTTCTTTTTATTTTTTATTCCTTTATTTGCTATTGCTAGCCACTAAATCGTAGGGATATGCATATCTGTTCCCCTTTGAATTTCTTGGATTCTTTGGAATGCACATCCTGTTACACCACAACACGATCCCACAAAAACCAATCGCCCGATGAGATTGCCCGTAGATGGTAGAAAGCAGATACATAGAGAAGAGACTACTCCAGCCAAGCTTGCCATGCCAACAATGGACCATGTTTGAACTTGACAATGGGCCAAGAGGCTACCGGGCAATAAAGTTAGCTTTTTGATGTTATTATAGTTGAAAAGAGGGGAGAGGGGAAGCCAACGTACAAACATATGGCTGAAAATAATACTGCAAATTTGACTCCGAGAGATGTTGATATTGTCCGATGACCTGCAGAGATGTCTGGCTGTATATCAACAATCGAAGCCATACAATGACAGGCACAAGCATGAAAAAAGACAAAGGCGCCGTTGATGTCACCAGTCTGGTGTTGTAGAGCTCTGTCGCCCCCAGAACAATACCCACTTGCCCAGAACAACCAGAGAATTGCTCCATTAGACATTGAGTCTATAATTGGTATCTCCTTAAGCCGTAGCGGTGGTGAGGAGTATGCCCAGGTAAGAAAAAGAAACGACAAAGTGTAAAGTAATACTCGAGGACTTTGAACCGATGCAGGTATGGAGCACAAGACAATCAAAGCTGTAGCAGCTTTGGCAGCGAGTAGCACAAATTCATGATTTTCTCGAGATAATAGTCGACCCTCTGAAAAATAGTTTGTCTTTCGGGGATTGTGTATATCGGAATCATAGTCGTAAGCATCGTTAACACCGAATGTCACTTTCCCAAGTTCGTTAGAATCAGGATCATGACGATTTTTTGTTATTCGATCACTCCCTACCTAAGCATAAAGGGAAAGATAGAGTAAGAGCAAATAGTATTGCCGGTGTTGTCGACGGAAAATTGTCGGAATGAATGATTCCCCAAAAAATAGACCGAAGGGGCAACTAGCCACCAAAGTGGGCGGCTGACCATGAACAATATTCGCATCTTCTTTAAGGAAGTTGACGTCTTAAACATTTCCGAAGAGTGAGGAAGTCCTTGGGCTGTATGCTATTGAGAAAAAGTTCTGCGCAAAAATTATATTGTGGATAGAGCCAGCTCTTATAGATTCTAATTTCACTCTGTGTGACGGTTTGTCGGGTTGTACATCAATACATGTACATACCTAGATAGGTAACTACATATGTAGTTATGCAGTCTGTGGGTGTGTCATTAAGGATACAACAAGCCCGACTCAACATTGAAGACTTTGAGTTTATTTTACGTGATTTGCTCCGGCTACAACATACGTATCGATTCACCGTAGATTATGAGTACTATCGAACACGGGGGTGAATAGTCTGCCATGAGAAAAATAAGGTGATACCAATTTGTATGCCTCCGCACTCCTCTCACCATTTACAACCTTTCGATACCGGCTGTTTTGCGGTCCTAAAACGGGTCGTACCGTTGGCTGCCTCGAAGCATACCCCTATCTTCCGATAAGTTTCATGTTATTCCCAGGAGATACAAAGCGCTGAGTCCAGATCTCGTCGATCCTCGGTGCTTTGCGTCCACCCCACTGTGGATTATTGGTCAGAGTTTTCACTGGCTGTTAGATCCTGTCGACTGCCACCATTGGTTGTTGATCCGTTCAACTAACCAGCACCGCAGTAATTGGTATAGACCTATCTATACTGATAAATTGTGATATTTAAACAATTCATTCCCCTATATTAAGATACCAAAATAATGGAAATAGTGAATTTTATCTCAACGAAGGGATGTCGCTTAATCTCAAGCCTATTATAGGTAGAACAGAAGTCGATTAACCAGTTTACTTACTACCTAATTTCTGGTGCTCAGTAAGCAGACCACGTTGATTATATAATGGCCCGTGATCCAGTGATCAAAAAGCGGCAAGGGAGTAGTCTAACCCAATTGAGCGAATGCGGAGAAACTGGTGACACCTTGGAGAAATCAACTTGGGAAGTCGTCACTTCTGTTTACTTTCGTTTCACTTGACATCCCTTTATTCTTCAACATACACCATGAAACGAAGAATCACCTTCATCCAGCGCGTCGATGCCGGCTTCGACCCACAGCAAGCTGTGTTAACTACATCATCCCTCTCCGTCCACGGCCTGGACGCCGCGCGGGAGGATCGTATTACGGTCGGACTGGACGAGCTCCCAGAGGAGGTGAGAAGGATTCTCGGTTGCAGAGCCCATTAAGAATTGAGCAACGTTAACCCGTTTGTTTTGTTGTGTTTAGTTGCGTGCTGTCCTCGAACAATCTCATGAGCTCCACCTCCGCTGGGCCTCCGAGAGGTCTTTTGATGCTGCTGTGCCATATAGTAGCCGGGTTTCACCTGGACTGCATATGCACTATACTCCGCTCGAATTGGAATCATCTTCGTGAGTTCACTTATACATCTTGGGTTTGGGGAACTGCGATTGATTGATTTGGTTATCGATAGGGAAGCACTATGCACGCTACTCCGCACGATAGTCGCGCCCAACAAAGACGCTCAGTTTAAGGGCTGTTCGAAGAAGGAGGTATTTTACAACTGTTCATTTTCCTTTGGAGGCGTTCCCTAGCCATATTTTGCATGTGTTCGATCTGACCCGGTATCTGCTTTACAGGAGTCGTTCATTACACCCCCGCTTCTCTCGACACGATTCGCTTCCTCGACCTCCCTACAATATTACACCCACCTCCCTTCCATCCAGTCTCTAGTGGGATATATTCAGAACACTGTTTGTGACAAGAGCCGTATAGATGGCCCCGAGTGTCAAACCCAGGCCGATGCTCTACTCTCTGCAGACTCGGTTGATATCGACTATGACAGCAATTCTCACGATTTAACTGTGTCTGGGCTCTGGAACAGTCCACCTACGGGTGGTTGGACAGATCAGTTTCAAAAGCCAGCATCCGCTGCCGATCAAATCGAGTTCGGTCTCTTGGGTGCTGACGCAGGGCTTGAGCCAGAGGAGATCAAGATGGGTGGGCTGTTAGCGGTTGTTGGACAGGACAAGAAGCTAAGTATGTGCCCTTGGCGTTTCTCATATCGCTTTCTTTTTGTCTAACGCTGGTCCACCAAAATGGCTCGACTAACCGCTATGTAGAACCAACCATGTTCTCATTCCCCTCCCGCCACCAACATCTCACTGAACCATCGAGCTACACCGTTTCATTCGCTCCCCCAACTGGCCTCCATCCGACAATGTCAATATCAATGCCCCGATCATCCCTCAAACAACCACCAGCACCCAGCGACGCAACTTGTGCTCTACACACATACCTCACACTCCCCTCCGCCATCTTCGGAGATCAATACCAGCTCGCAACAACAGACCCACTCTTCCTCGAGTCACACAACCTTGTAGCCCTGCGTGCCTTGGCAGGCGAAATGGACCTTGAAGCCCCAGACTGGGCTGTTCAGCGCTGGGGCTCAAACTGGCTCCTCGAACTAGCAACTCCCCCAGAAGCCGAAGACGGGGCCAGCACACCAGACCCTTCAAATTGGACTGCCACTATTCCTTTACATCTGCGCTACCTGCCACCCTCCGAAACAGGTCAACGCACTGCCCACATCCCCTGGCCCGTCGTCTTCTGGGCCTGTACTACTGAAGATGACACGGAGATGAGCTTGAACCCCTTTGACCGGAAAAATCTCGGTTGGGACAGCTTGTTCGGTCCTCGAACCCTATTCTACCAGCTTCAGCCTGCGGGTGACCGTCTTGTTGAGGATATCGATGTACCTGTTCTACGACTCGAGGGCGGGGATAGCTACTTCCAGGCTAAATATATTGAGCTTGGCACTTGTGTGGTTATCTCTCTTGGGTTCATGTGGGTGCTTTGGCGACTTGCTCGTGTTGCTTGGTCGTCTGGGGTTGGAAGTAAACGGGCCGAGACCACGCACGACAAGAAGGAATGATTGATTTATACCATACTAGATAGTGTATTCACTACTGTTGACCATTATTTCCCATCCTCTTTTTCTCTTTTCCTCTCTTTTCCTCTCTTTTTCGGGGTGTTTGTCTTGCAAGTTTCTCGACGAGGAATTCTAAGGAGTGTTCCATATTAGTCTTACGGTCCATATGACATGATAATGGAGAAATACCTTTCTCTCAAGTTTGCCGAATGAAAATGGTACAATATGTGTACGACTTCGAGGTATATGGGAACCTCCTATTGGGGTTTGCCTCTTTCTTCCCATTTGGTTGAGGCGAGGTACTGATCGATGGATCCCTAGCTAGCTCACTCGAGCGATAGAAACAACCAAATCCACCTATTTCAGTCTCAAGACTAGGCTCGAGGCACTCCTCCACCAGCTACATCAAGCTCCCGATCTTCTTCGAAGAAACAGATAACATCGCTTGATTGAATATCGAAACACACCTGGTGCATATTATCACCTTAGAGCCAATCTACTGATATGCATCGACGTACGTTGCCGGTCCAGAAGGCTTCAGAATTGACCTAGAGACCGAGCAAGTGCGCATCGCATCATGCATGGGGTTCACATTCCCCGCCACAGTGCACGCAAGAGCAAATCATAAACAGCAAGCAAATCACAAACAGCACAGAGACGTTTACAGCGCCGGTACAGTCAGAATACCACCGTACTCTGAATCTCGCCTACCAGTGTCTACAGAAGAGCTCTTCGAAGACCGGGAATACATCTTCCAAGGAAGGCATCCTAAGCTCAGTCTCTACTGCCACCTAGTGGATGCGAAGTTCAACTGGGTACAAGGCGTCAATCACTCAAGCCACTGGTGCAGTTAGCTGCGCTGTCTCCCGGTGTGAGCTTTGACCGAGTGTGATACTACATATATACAGCACCCCTCTCTAGGCTTTTCCATTGCTCTGGTTTGGATACAATTTCTATTTCCTTTCTTCCTATGGATACCATATTTATTCCCTCGTTACTTGTGAAAAGTGGAATTGAAAACAAAGCAGTATAGTATACAATAATCGGTTGTCATTCACCGGAGCTAGCATTGTCTTGGATACCTGATGTATGGTGGGATCTCACGTATTCCGGGGTCACGGGTAAACCTTCGTAGAGTATGGCTGTGGCACATAGGAGGTTGGAAAAGAGAACCACAGGAGCTCTTCGATCTTGGTGCTACCGTCGGTAGCCAAACACCCCGAACGCTCTTTAATTTTGTCCCACTTTTCAAGCACACGGTCGATCTCTCCTCCAGCACCAGATGCATTGAACACCTCGCAAAGCCTCCAGTGGAGGTCAAGCAAATTCCGATTCACCGAAGCAACCTCGGGATGCTGGTTCATCCTAACCTTCTGACCTTCGTCGTAGAAGCGAGGTAATGATAGGCCCCGGGACTTGTAAACCACGATCTCGTATAAGAAATTGGCTATCGGGCTTAAGTTACAATTTATATTAGCTGGGTCTATCAGTTATTAGGTAATTGTCACTCACAATTGGTTTAAATGCTAGAAGGAATTTCCCGAATAGGGAATGAAGAGAGGCCGCGAGCAAGAATCCATTGGAAGGTTCGTCAACAAGTGGACGCTTTGATGACTTACTTCCCTCAACGCGGGAAAGCAAGTGTAGAGGGCGGACCAGCACAAACAAGCAACGCATGTCGGCACAAGAAGATGATCGGTGCGATCATCAGATGGAACGTATTCGTCTATACGCGCCTTTGCCTGGGAGTTCGGGGTGTCCCAATCTGCTTCGTTGGCAGGGTCAACACTGACAGGGGCAGCTGGCTCATGCCCGATGTCTGATAATGTGCTTCCTGGGTATTTCTAGCACCGGAGTGGGAGAAGGAAGAAAGAAGAAGAGAGGGTGAGGGGGGATATTTATACCTTCCTAGGGAAGTAGGGGGACGTGACTTAAAAAGGAAGGCACCTACATAACATACATAAGGGAACCTTGGAATAACCTTGTGATGTCTTTTAGATGCTCTTTTGGATGATCTTTTCAGAGGTCTTTTCAGATGTCTTCTTTAGGTATATACGAAGGCGGTAAAAAAGGACTTTTCTATATACACAACCTTTGATATATCTTCTTTTACATCTGCCCAAAAAGATCTTGTCCGAGACGTGCTGCCATAAGAGATAAAATATGTTCCATGTCACCTATGTCGAGCACTAAGTATGTAGCAAAGAGATGCAGCCGTCATCCGGCCTCATGCACCCTGTCACGCCGCTATTGCAAAAGAGCCTCAAGATCTGCAACGCGAGTGCCTCTATCCTCAGCTTTCTTCTTCGCCGTCTCCCGGAAAGCAGCGAGCATAAGGCTCCGCTTACGCTCTTGGATCGCCAATACCCGCTCCTCAATACTATCTTCCATAACCAGTCTCCAGACCGTCGTCTCACGTTTCTGCCCAAGTCGATACACCCGATCAACAGCCTGGTCCTCGATAGCTGGCGCCCACCAACTGTCACATAAGATAACCTGATTCGCTGCAACGAGGTTGAGACCAACACTGCACACGCTCAGACTTGCAAGAAGGACAGTACACTCAGGGTCGTTAGAGAATGAGTTGATGGAGTTATCGCGTTTCGTAGACTGCATCTTGCCATCTACGCGGGCGAACTTGATACCGCACTGCCCAAGTTGTGGCTCAATGAGATCCAGGAACGAGGTCCATTGGCTAAAAACCACGGTCTTTGTGCCTGGTGCCTGGCCCTGAGCAGTCAGGATCTTGACCAGGGTCTCGATCTTACTGCTTGGACTGTCGGGGTCGGCTTCAACAGTGTCTGTGTCTTCACCCAGTTCCACAGCTGGAGAGACGAGTGTGTTGGTTTCGTTGATATCTGCGCGGCAGAGCGGACACTTGTGCTGGCGTTCAATAACCTGCTCGATACAGCCCCGGCAATAAGAATGGGCGCAGGCGGTTATGACGGGTTGTTCAAGGTTGTCAAGGCAGATGGCACACATTTCTTGGCTTTCTATCTGGAGCTGCAGCATCTCTTGCAGAGCACGGACGTTCTCAGGTGTCAGAGGCACGACTTTGTGTTCCTCCAGCATGCTCATGAGTTTGTCAACGCGGTTCTTGCAGAGTGCCCAGTGATTGCAGACTTGACGAAGGCGGAGAAGAACCTCGAGAAGGTGAGAGTACTTGGTCTTACCATCTTTGTCCTTGAAGTCGAGAAGAGCACCTTGGGCCTCGGTTCTATGATTATTATTAGCAAATTTGTTTTCACTGTGTAGGTAGTCACTCGATACGTACTGAAAAGCATTGTACTTCTCCTGTTCATGGGCATTGAACTTGATTCGAATGATACGAGATGTCATCTCGGGCAGCTTCAAATTGATGAAACCCATATCCTTCCTACGTCGTAGGCAGATGGTACCCATGAGAGCCTCAAGAAGCAGTCGAGCCTCGGGCTCCCCTGCAGTCAAGGGTCGAATCAAGACACTGTTGAAGATCCTCAAATCTTCCATTCCACCGGAAAACTTAAGGAAACGGATTTGCGCATACAAGTCCTTCAGAGTGTTGATAATGGGGGTTCCGGTCAGGGTCCAGCGGGAGTCGGCGCGCAAGCCACAAGCCGCAAGGGAGGCCTTGGAACTGGGATTTCGGATGGTATGGCCTTCGTCAAGTACGACACGACGCCAATGCAGCGAAAAGATGCCCTTAACAGGCGGCGTTTTGGCATTCGGATTGAAGTCCAGGGCTAGGGCGCCATAGCTGGTGATCACAACATCATATTTTGCCAAGTTCGCAGCTTCCTTCTTCCCAGAGCCGTGGTAAATCAAGACACTCAGGGCGGTCTCCTTGTGCGCGTGATCCTGGATCTGATTCCTCCAGTTGCTCATGACACCGACAGGGGCAATGATCAAAGTGGTCTTAGAGGAGCCTGCAGTGAGAGGCTTTGCATTTGCAAGAATCAAAGAGATGATCTGAATTGTCTTGCCCAAGCCCATATCATCAGCAAGAATGCCACCGCTGGCGAGGGCTGGTTCCGTGGCCGTGGCATAATTTGTTGCGACATTGAGAAATTCGGCATTTGTCCGTTTCCACAACTGCACGATATCGTCGGAGCCAATTGCTGGAAGGCTTGGCGATTCTTGCTTGACCAACCAAGCTAGTCCCTGGCGCTGGTATGGAAGCAACTGGGTGGAAAGGCCGGGTGGAGTATCAACCATCGGCATATTGACCAGATCAGACTCCTTCTGTCCGAAGGTTTCTACAACCTGACCAATATCTCGGGGATTGAAGGTAGAGCTTTGGTTAAGGAGCTCTTCCAAGCTCTCATTTTGCTCTCCGCCCAGTCCCGTGGGGGTCGAGAGGTTCGCATACTCAGAATTCTGGTTGGGTTGCCATTGCGCAGCTTTGCCAAGAGCCATGGCGCGGGCTTTCTTTGCGGCCTCCTTCTGCTGTTTCTCGGCTTCTTTCTCCGCCTTGCGTTCTTCACGCTCCAGCTCGTTCACTTGGCGAACAGGAAGCTTGTCGATCTGCATTCGTTGCTTCAGATTCGATCGTCTGATAGGATCGCGAGTCCCGAAAAGCTTCAAATCGACCGGACACCAGAAATCTCCAATCGCACCAGTCAATGTGCCTTCAATAATGAGATCGCGAGCATCCTTTGATAACAAACGTCAGCAATGCCTCAAAAGCAATAGGATTGGAACTTTACAATGTAAGACGCCAGCTTCGCTGCCATCTGTCGTGGAATGTGGCCAACTTGGGCACCCATGACATTGTCAACCCTAATAGCATTGCGATCATATCGATTATTGGCATCCCGAACTATGATGACACGTTCACCTGGGTTGGCACGGCCCCTATAAAAGCGTACACCAACAATCTTTGTTGAAACGATACCTGTTTCGTATGGTTTAGTATAGCTTTTAGAATAGATGGGGAGGAACCGATAATATTGAAAAAGGAGCATACCATAGAGGATGGAGGTTGTTAGAGAGGTTTCATCCACCTCCTGAGATCCTTGAATCACATCGAGCGCTTCTTCGTCTTCCTCATCAGCACCGACTACTTGCGAGAGCTGATTCGATGGAATGAAGTCGGCAGACTCGCCAAATCTCTGATCTGAGTTACTATCCTGGTTCAACGGAATGTAGTCCACAGTCTCGCCGAATCTCTGGCGTGAACTGGAATTTTCGGCGTTCAAATTCTGAGCTATGCGAGTGAATTTTGGCGCATGACCAGAGTAATCTTCGGTAGAAGAGACATCAGATTTGCGTTTTCCTGCCATGTTTATCTGGCTTCAGCGCAGTTGATACAAGCTTTGACAATGATGAAGATGGGGAGGTCGTGGACTGTTCGAGAAGTGCAAATTTATCCGGGGCCCAATGCTGTATCTCAAAAATATTCTCTCGATTGACAACTTTCAACAGCAAAGGACCACCAATGAATACATGTAGAGAATAGGGATTGTTCACTCCCGAGCTGTCACATTACACCATACAATTACAAATTGGGTTTAGCGCCCGACGCGTCGAGTCACGACTGCACGTGACCTGGGGTGAAAGCGGGGCCAATCACGTGGAGAGATATGCTGATAACTCGACGCCCGCTGAGTGGACGCTCGGTATAGGGCAAGCCCCACAGGGGGTCTTTACAAGATTAGTTGATATGCGAGGACGATAACAAGCTGATGATTGAGACGAGAGTTTATCAAAAGGATATTCATGAATGCTCCAAGCTCTTGCACTGTACCATCCTGTCTATACTATCTTCAGTAGTCTGGAGATAACCCTTTGTCGTCTTTGTCGTGCGGAGAAACCCCGACGCCTGCGTGGGGTATATCCCGTCCCCCGGATTTTATCCGCTCCAAGGTTGTTGAGAGATTCCCACTGATCCATTGGCAGCCATATTTACCCTCTTTCGTTACGAATCTTGTCAGTTTCGCAGATTAAATTTATGCCGTCCTATCAGCCATTTCAATGTCTCGTCTGTCAAAGTCGATTTACTCGACATGAGAACCTCAAGCGACATTCAACACTACACTCCCGCTCTCAGGCTGAAGCGTCGCTTCCTTGTGACTTTTGCCACGCTACCTTCTCCCGTCCCGACTTGCGCAATCGTCACATGAAGAGGAAACATCCAGAGCATGAGAAGCACCGAGTGACGAAGAGGACACAGCCCCAACCAGTACCCAGACAAGACAGGCTGCATTCTTCTGTATCGCCGACAGCGGTCTCGCCTACAGGAAGTAATGGTGGCTTGCCATCTCCTGGGTCCGTGCATTCGAGCCCAGGAGAGGAGACGAGGTTCGATAGTGATGCGGTCTGGCGCCCGGTGATGCGGTATCAGCAGCAGCAGCAGCAATTTGACCGTGGCCACCCCACGGAAAACCCAAATATCGCTATGCCAAGGACCGGGATAGCTAAGACACAACTGACAAGAGAAGAGCCGTTACAACATCAATCGACGACGTGCGACTCTGCTCTCATCGATCAGATTGTCCAGGATGCCACAGATCTGGAGCGGAGCTTACTATTAGGGACATCTTTCCTGAAGTCCACCAATCACCTTGACAACCAACTACATCCGATGACCACCTCAGAAGTCCAGCCACTCAATACAAGTCTAGCCGAGTACAGTTTTAGTCACCCAATTTTGGATAGGTTGTCGCCGAATGACATCCCTCGACTCCAAGACGATTGGGCCCCGACTGCCTTGCAAATATCAAGAGGCTGCAATTTATTTTTCGCCTCAGTCTCCCATTTTCTCCCCTTCCTCCATTCCTCGACCTTTGATCCGACGCAAGTTCCTCCTCATTTGGTTCTCAGTATGCTTTGCCTCGCCTACCAATATGGCGAGGACCCAGAATGCGGGGACCAAGAAGGCTCAGGCGAAAGCTTTTCTATGCGTTGCTTCCATAAAGCCCGAGCTCTCCTTGCCTCCGACGAAGAAAGGCCCGATGCTTCAACAATTATCACCCCATTGGTCCAATCATATTTGCTCCTTCAAATCTGTGCCATGATGTACCTTTGTGGCGACAACTCAGCATGCGGCCTCAAAATGCATTCGCATATCATATCTCTAGTTCGCGCTGGACGAATGACACAGCCAATGACTGTTGAGTTGGGTGCGACCGCAGATTTGGAGTCATTATGGCGAGAATTTGTCAAAGCCGAGTCACACAAACGGACCCTTTTTGCAGTACACCAAATCGACGCGCTTTGGTACCAATTTCTTTCCATTCCCCGCTCAATCTCACATCTGGAAATCAAGCATGATATGCCATGCCCAGAAGACCAATGGTCATCATCCTCTGCTGCCGAATGGGCCCATCGACAACTTGTTGCAAGAAATGTCGGCCCCTCGGTCACTTACACCGATGCTGTTCGACGCTTCCTTTCTTCTGATGACGAAATCACCTCCATTCCGGCATTTGACCCATACGGCGCTATCAACATCGCGCAATTTCTGATCTCTAGCGCCCGGGAAATCTCAGGCTGGTCTACAATGACGGGGATGCTCAGTATGGAACGATTTGGGGCATTAAGATCGTCCCTCGTTGCACTTAGTCCTTTTATCTGCCCCGGAAACCACATAGCGCAAGCAAGTCACGCCACTTCATGCGCTGCAACTTGGGAGACTGCCATGATCGAGCTGCAGATGTGGTCACCATCCCACACTGGCGGAATTGTGGAAGGAAGCATAGATGCCGTTCTCAGTCAGTCAACATATCTTGGACCATCGCAATTCCTGTGCGATGCCAACACAGCCAAAATTATACAACCACATGTCAACTGGTTCCTAATATATCTAAATGAAACGGTCATACTGGACCCTGAAGCGCCGTGGGTGACCTTGTATGCGTATAAAGCTTTTTTGATTGCCTGGCAGTTGATACATGCTGGCCTACCTGGTGCAATGGACGCTGTGGGCGTCCGTGATGGTGATACGGATGGAGCTCTGATGTGGGCGAGAAAGGTCTTCGAGCGAAGACAGAAATGGCAGATTGGGAAACTCATCTTGTCGTGTTTGGATGAGCTAGAAAAATGAACAACGATCTTTTTATGCTCTTACTATTACGAATATATGTCTTACATTAATATTTTGTGGTAGTTTTGAACAATTCAACCAGTCTCAACTACATTTCATTGTTATACCCATTTCCCTAAGGTAAAATATACCATAACTATAACCATCTGACACGAACCTGTATCCTGATCCAACCAATACATGAGTTACAAACAAAATACAAAGCAACGTAGTTATTTATCAGTACATCTCGTAGCGCCAGTTGAGCTGTACCATTTCCTCTGTGACGCCACCCTTGACCACCTTGGCGATTTCCACAGGGTCGCCAGAGTCCAAACGCTCGTTCTCGCGTAAGACGAGCCAGCGGTATGCAGTGATAGTGAACCCGAACAAGACAGCAGCACCCATAAGCGTGCCAAAGGCAGCATAGAAACGGGGCTCTCCAAAGTATAGGTATGAGGCCCAGATGTTGGACGTACCACCGATGGCATTAACCAAAGCAGAGGCAGCCGCCCGCTTCGAAATGGGCCGTGCAAGATGCAGGTTGATGGTCTTGTAGAGGAGTAGCTGAGGACCGACAGATGCGAAGGGCAGAATCATCATCGAGAAGTAGCGAGCGCCGACGTTGGTATTCGCCATCGGGATGATGTACATCGGGATCGAGATGGCGATGCAAAGGATGATGATTGGGTATACGGTATTCTTTCGATCAGAGTAGAACATGAGGACGTAGTAGACGAAGCCGGCGAGGATATAGGGGGGTGCCGTGAGAAGCAAGCTGATGGTGCTGGAGAAGTTGAGCGAAGCCACAAGGGTGGGGAAGTAGTTGGCGATGGAACCCTGTGCTTGGGATAGCATGTTGCAAAAGATGAGCAGGACCAGCTTCGGGTCTCGGAGGGCTTTGGCAAACCCTTTCCACACGCTCTCATTTTCTGTGCCCTCTGCCGCGCCAGCTTCGGACTCGATACGCCACACAGCGCAATCGCGCTCAATCTGGGAAAGGATCCGGCTGTTGTGGGGGAATTCTGGCATTATGCAGGCACAGATGATGCCAATTCCGACAGTTGCACTGCCCTCGATGATGAATAGCCACTTCCAGCCGCGGATGCCATGGTGTCCATCGAGTTGAAGGATGGCTGCGGCAAAGAGACCACCAAAGGCATTACCAACTTGCTGGGCAATGTATAGCCCGGCAATACGCTTTCCTAGCTCCCTCTTTGTGTACCAGGCAGAAAGGTAATAAATGGCCCCGGGGAAGAAAACGGCTTCGGCAGCTCCGAGAATGGCTCGAACAGCGAGGAGTTGACCATATGTCGTGACCGCCGCTGTACAAGCCGAGATAGAACCCCAGATTGCCACCGCACCACATATGTACATGCCTGGCCGGGCGATCTTTGTAATGATGAGGTTGCTGGGAATTTGGAATGGTAGGTAGCCGACAAATAGAATGGAAATAGCCGTGGCAAATTGCTCAGTAGACATGTTCAGATCTTCCATGATGCCCTGAAGTTTGGCAGAACTCAAGTTTTGCCTATCTATGTAGTTGAGAATGTAGAGAATGGAAATTGTTGGAAGAATTAGGAGGTCGATCTTGTGGACAAGCTTCTTCTTGAGAGCATCAAACTCATCGTCGCTGAGTGCACGAAGTGACTCTGGCATGCGGTTGTAGGCATCGACTTGCCCTTCTGCCGACGAGACATTGTCTTCAGCCAGGACAGACTCTTTCTTGTCCACAGGGAAAGACATGAGGAGGGGTGGTGCTTGTGGTGTTTGCCACGACCACAGCGAGTATTAACAATGGAGACTGTGTTGCAACAGAGAGTGTTGCAGGTTGCAGGCTGGATCTCCGAGACGATACTTGAGCTCCCCCTATATAGTTCAACCCAGTCTCTGCATTTACCGACTTAGCGGAGAGTCATTACCAATATCCGACCTCGGGAGTCAACTAATGACTGGAACTCCTTTCGAAAGAAGAATATCGAGGCATTCATTGGTCGAGATTGGTTAAGATCTGGTCATTCGTAGTTGATAAGTGAGACGAGTAGATAGGCCTTGGAGATAAGAGTACACATGAGCGCCCGATGGTTCTCTGTCCAATTAGAGTCGAGTACCCCGGATACAGAGTTTGGTTGAAATCTGGGGTGCATTGAGCTAAGGCTTGCCCAGGTGGGAGGAGCTCTCGCATGTCCCCGAGGTCGATAAGAAGTTTTTGGGAGGTGCAGGTGGGCTTTTCTTTCCGAGAACAGAGACGTTTAGCGGCCAATTAGATAAAACACTCTTGTGGAGGCAAATGCCACATAAAATCTAAAGTTTTCAGGTGGACCGCTAATCAGAACTGTAAGGAGGCGATAAGCCACCCCGAGGTTTGCCACTAGTCTGCCCTAACTTCATGCAAGAACTCATGTTGACCATGTCTAAGCTCCTCATTTTGGTCCATGTTTTCTATCTTCGCTCTAGATGAATGAGGGGGTTATGGGTACGTAAACCAAAATTATACTTAAACTAGCATCTTATCGACCTCTTTCGTCTTCACCTCACTGCCGAGCCCTCAATAGACAACTCCAAAAAGTCACCTCCACCTTCTAATACCTCTATCATCACAATGGCTTACCCTACCGCTCTCACAACATCAATCGAGAACTCTCGATTGAGGCTCCTGAACAAGATTAAGGCTGGCGAGTTTCCGCTCATGACCTTCATGGCCATCCCCTCCATCCGCCAAGCCCAGATCGTTGCCCTGACCGGTGTCGACGGTATCATCATTGACTGTGAGCACGGACACATTGGCGACGATGCCATGCATAACTCTGTCTCTGCCATCTCCGCCCTCGGCGTCTCCCCGATCATCCGCATCCGTGGTCCCGCCCACGATATCCTCAAGCGCGCCCTTGATACCGGAGCCCATGGCATCATGGTTCCCCAGATCAACAATGCCGAAGAGGCAGAGCAAATTGTGGCTTCTTCCAAGTTCCCTCCCCAGGGTGTGCGAGGCCAGGGCTCGGCCTTCCCCGCAATCGGCCATGGCCTCACAACTCCTGAATACATGAAGTCCGCCAACGAGACCATCATCACCATGATTCAAATAGAGACCTGTGCTGGTGTGGAGAATGTCGATGCTATCTGCGCTGTGCCCGGTGTGGATCTTGTCTTCATTGGTCCTAACGATCTTGCCCAGTCTCTGCTTGGATACACACCTGCTCGTGGAGATGAGCCTGAATTTGTTGCTGCTATTGATAAGATTATTGCTGCTGCCCGCAAACACGGAAAGTGGGCTGGCCGCATGGTCAACAATGGTACTGCAGGTAAGGAGGCTCGGGGGCTGTATGATACCGTTGCCATCACTGGTGACACCAAGGCGATTCAGAACTGGTACATGGCGGAGTTTGATATTGCTCGTTCATGAGAGGGCGGATGATTTTATGGCATATTATGATAGAATCTCGTATATAAATTCTTTTTTTATAGAGATAAATTAAGTTTCTCTACTGCTTCACCTCTCTCCATCAATTAAATCCAACTTCGAATTCGGAGAAACTCCGATCTAGCTACATGCCTTGACTCAGACATAGGAAATTAAAGCCCACTAGTCTTTTTAATCCCTCAAACATATACCCTTGTTGTCCAATCGAGTTATCCAAAAATGGAGGAAAAGAAGGCAAATTGTTAATTCGTACACATTCACTGCTTAAAGAACACATTCTCTTATCTGCTCGCTTGCTTGATTTTACGAACAGAAGCTTACGTAGTCACACATAGCGTTTCAGCTTTCCAAGTTACTAGTACATATGCGCTTAACTAAGGTCATATCTAGTTAGATACCAGTTATAGTAGTTATACGGTTTACTCCACTCTAGTTACATATTATGACAACTTGATACTCCATTCGAAAGAGAGAAAAAAAAGAAAGAAGTTTTAATTTTCGTCTATATTCTAACTATGTTCATAACATCATAATTTAAGCTTGCGCAATACACTCGACCTCAATGACGGTGCCATTTCCGGGGGCAACCGCTTGAAGACATGAGCGCGAAGGCATGGGCTGTGGGAGGAAATCGATGTAGGCTTCGTTCATAGCGGCGAAATCCTTCATATCGGCGAGGTAGACATTGTATTTGACGACCTTCTCAAGGGAAGAGCCAGAAAGCTCGAGAACTTCCTTCAAGTTTTGCAGAACGGTTCTCTGTGTAATAGCAACAAAGAGTCAGTCAGTGCTTTATTACTCGATAACTGCTTGTGCAATTGAACTTACAGTGGCATGCTTAATCTCTCCTGTGGCAGTCTGGCCTGCGCAAAAGACGAGCCCGGGGACCTTGACGGCAGGGCCTGAATAGCTTGATTAGTAACTTTCGTTTTTTGTTCATTTTTCAAGAGAGTGCAAGGTATTTTGCATGCAGATACTGACAGTTATGAGGCTTGGTAGGGAACTTCTCGCTGGAGATGAGTTGACGAGACATCTTGGCTGGTGATTTTGAAGAGAGATGGTGTAGTTTCAAGTGTGTGTCAAACAGTTTGAAAATGTAGAAATATTAGAAAATGAGCTTGTTTAAATTACTCAAGCTACACCTCATACCTCTCTATCCGAGGCATCTTGCCAGTCGAGAAGAGGGGCAATTCTCGCGATGGAGGAGCAGTTTCTTTTTGGTACTAGTTTATTTGATATCACTCTTCTAGGGGGATATGGCGGGAGGCGTGGGAGGAGTGATAAATGGGAGGAGCACATCATATTAGGTTCATTATTGCGGCCATCTTCTTCAAAAGGGCTATCAGTGTGTAAAGCCACGCTCTGTAATTAATATTGATTAATCTGGCCGCAATCACGGCTTGTTTATACCTCCACTCCCCACATACTCTTCCAATCCGGGTCTAGCGCCAACCTTATCATTTATGCTTAGGTTCAATCTTGGAACGTCCATAGATACGACAGGCAGAGGAGCCCCCCGAGGTCCCGTGTATAATAAACAAAAAATGAGAGGAGAGCTGAACTATCTGAAAATGTGGGGAAGTGTAACAGGGAGCATCCAACACCATGATTATCACGCCAAAGTCTTAGTGGCGCACTAGCAGTAGTCGATAATCCTCCTACTCTCATCGCATCTACTCTTACAGAATGATGCATGCCATACTTCCCTTCCCAAATATCGGATATACTAATAGGGTTCATGTCTCGCTATTGTATTAGTATTTAAAGATATAGAACTCGATCAGATAATCTTCCTTGTACTGTCTTCAGCATCGATCATAGCACTGATTATTCTTTGCACATATATCACCATGTCACTTTGTACTCCTTTCAATCCTCCTGCAGCTGACCTGCCTGGCAAGCCTTTTGTTCCAACATGGATTCCCCCGCCTGTCACTCAGCAGAAGGAGAACTTTGCCGAGCTTAGCTCCATCGATCTTTCCTTGTTAGACTCGGATGACCCTGCCGTTGTTGACAAACTTGTCCAGCAGGTTAAGGGCGCCATTCGTGATGATGGATTCCTTTTCCTCGAAAACTACGGAGTTTCCCTCGAGCAGGTAAGCCTTGGTTCTCAAGCCAAATTCCAAAACCAACGTCTCTAATAACGTATCTTTTCCAATAGCTCCACCGTCAGTTCTCTCTTGCACAGTATCTATATAATAATATTAGCGAAGAGGACAAGCAGCGCCTTTTGTTCGATCCTGAAACTGGTGTTTGGTCTGGCTACAAACACCCTTACGGATTCAAGGTAAGATTATCTCCCTCATGCATCAACCAACCCTCTACTTACTCTCCCCTTTTGTGATTAGCGCGAACGCGGACCCGAAGATGGCATTGAGCAATTTAACTGGTACAGGCCCGACTGGAACGACATCAACCGTGTGCCTACATGTCTGCACCCCTTTATGGACGAGATCGAAGAGTTCTCTAACTATCTGACCAAGTCCGTCAACCGTCGCCTCCTTACCCTCTTCTCCCGTGTCCTCGAGTTGCCCGACGACTATCTCTGGGATAACGTCCAGTCACACGGTTGTCCAACTGGTGAGGGTTACTTCCGCCATGCGCTTTTCCGCCCCGTCCAGAAGAAGACCGAAGAGGCATCTAAGGGTCTGCGCATGCACGGACACACTGACTTTGGTCTGACAACATTGCTCTTCTCTGTCCCCATCTCGTGTCTCCAGATCTGGGGCCGTGATGAACAGTGGTATTATGTACCCTACAAGCCCGGTGCACTTGTCATTAATATCGGTGATACCCTGGAGATTGTTTCTGGTGGTCATTTCAAGGCTACTCGTCACCGTGTTTACAAGCCTCCTGTCGATCAGTTGAAGGAGGAACGTCTCTCTCTGGTTCTCTTCAACAGTTCTGTTGGTGATTTGCGCATGGGTCCCGCAACAGGTTGGTAGATTGAGATCACGCACATTGGTTAATCACAAGAACCACGCTGACGCCGTCTTTTATAGAATCTCCTCTTATTCAACGAGTGGGCTGCGTTGAGGAACAAGGTGTCTACAAGGAGTTCAAGAGTCTCACATCCCAAGGAAAGCTTGTGCCCACCAACCGTCAATGGCGCGAAATCCAGATCGCTACTGCTACGGATCCCACGGATCAAGAGCGCAACAGAGTTGGTGCTGATCAGATTCTCATTGATGGCAAGATTATGCACCAACGAGAGTACATGGGTGTCAAGGTTGTCCTGCCAGTTTGAAGGTATAATGCGGGCAATTACTGGAAGTGTTTGTTGTTTTGATTTCATTACCCCCGGTTTTTATGGAAGATTTATGCCAACAGATTGTATGCAAGATCCAGATATATGTAGAGTTTCAATTTGATAATTGTTATTTTTTATACATTCTACGTACGTACCTATATAGATATCACTATGTAGCACTAAAAGCTTCGTGCCTTAGAATGAGTTTACCTTTTCTTCCTCGATTACCGCTTATTTTTGTACCAAATGAGTGTACGTAGTATAGTGGTGGAGTAGGAGAATGTAGATGTTCATTGGTTGTTAGGTTGTGGGAGAAAAACAAAAAAAAGAAGTGTCAAGAAACTTTTGACCTCCATGTATCGAAATCTTTAATAGGAAATTTGTTGGATTTTCCTTGGTTTGTCGGTGTTTTGCTCACCAGGTCACCAGTTGGTAAATCGCTCCGGTAGAACTCTTTGCAAGAAACAAAGATGATGGTGTATCTAAGATTGGAGATATTAGCCCCCCCCGGCACACATTCCTATTGAAGCCGACACTCTCAGGTACTTCCAGACTCTTGGTATGGCCAGAGGTTTCTAAACAACTCCCCTTCGTTTTCATCCTTTGCCAATCCGATAAAGATATCTTTGAATTTGCGGCAATTCTCACGAGCTACGTCATAGTCTTCCGCTTCAACCATCCCATCCACAGGGAGAATAGCTTGCTCTCGGAACAACAGCAACATCTGCCCAACTCCTTTGATGTTTTCCTCTTCCTTGAAGTGGAGATTGATTTCCTCGTCACTGAAGGCTATCGGGCAAGGGGTATTTGGAACAAACCGGTTCCAATGCGCGCTTATGGCCATAAGCGCTTCGCGGAGAAAAAAATAGATCACGGTTTTCCCATACCCCGCTAACAAGCCAAACAGGTTTGCGGATAATAGGAATTGTTGGTTGCTGGAGCACAGCCCAGTGAAGGGGCGCGCGCTTATACACCTGCGCCTCGTAGTATTTGTGGATCGTTTCGCTTTCTAAATCGTCATCGATTTTCTTCTGTTCATCTTGACTGAGGTTCTCAAAATCCTCAGGTCGCTCAGGGATGGCCCAGCCTTCCCTAACAGGTCGAGGATGTCTACACAATCTGGGAACAGTAGATTGGTAGAACAAAGGCGCAACACATGCTGATTGCCAGTCTACGACTCGCGTGATTTGGCATGTATTTGGATCCACGAAAACGTTATCCAGGTGAAGATCCGGATGCCACAGAACGTTGGAAGCTGATGTTTTGTCGTTTGGATCGGGGATAAGGTAGGGTGATACATCCACGTATTTCTCTAAAAGCGTAACACCATCTGCAGGAGGTTCTCTATTCTGGTTCGACCGGTAATAGTTCATTCGAGGACGTGCATGGGACTTGATCCAGGCCATCTCATTAAGACCCATTGCACGAGTGTATTCGCATGGATGCTTCCCTGTGCGACAGAACAGAACGTTAGAAACAGCGGACGGAATTCAAATGTCAGCCTACTCACAAGGACCACGATCCAACTTCATGTTCCTCCTAGTCCCATTCCACAATTCATTCGTGGTCAACGGCCCGATACAAAAGTCCTTCAGGGCATCATCATCAACAGAGTGGGAGTGTATGTCTTCTGCTTTCCCAACAAGAGAGCGCAGATCCTTTTTAAAATAAATGCAACCGTGTTCATCAAAGGTAATGGACGTCAATTTATTCTCCAGGTCAACCACTTGAGTGATGAGTTGAAGTTTCAGATCCCGCGGCCACTGATTCCAGACTGATCCAAGTCGTACGCCGGGGGCCCTCTCCTCAATGATGTATTCGGCCCCAACTAAGTTATTTGCAGAATTGCAAGACCACGAAAGTATGCGAGGAACGGGGACATCAAACACGTGGCGAAGCTATGAGCATTAGGGATATAGTGGCAGCTCATGGGAAACCAGACGCCTTACCAATTCACGCGTAGCGACCTCGGAGGCAACAGTGAAATGAGCAGGACCAGCGTTGGGGTTTGGGAGTTTCGCAAAGACCTCCGACCCATTGTTCATTTCCAAAATGAAGGCTTTGTTGTATAGCCCCTCCGCGCACTTGGTGACTCTGGTGCCTATTGGCCTTAGCGCATTTCATTCGCAAATTCCCAAGAGCAAAACGTACAGTAGTGGGCTCCATCGCATGAATCGATTGCAACCCTGATAAGTTGTTGTAGGTTAAATTTCAGGTAACGTTGCGAAAGGTGGCTCCCTTCGTTGAACCTAGGATTGGGGTTGAATTAGCCAATATCTAAACTTAGAGAATTTAGATGCCTACAGCCATCGATGCTTTGTGTATCGATACAAGTCTTCTTCACAAATCCTTTCATCTATGAACCATAAAAGGCGGGTCAGCTATGCAAATTCACTTGAAAACAACAGAAAATAAAACTCACTCAGGCCATCCGGCCTTTCTAGGTAAAGATCAGGTTTGCGACCTGGTGGCCCACGTCCACCTGACCACAAATACGAAAAGAATTTCATGTTCCGTAAACGGTGATAGGAACGAGGTTCAACGTGTAGATTTCGATTACTGAGTCCACAAAAATGACTCAGAATCTTATTCATGGTTATTAGAGTCAAGGCCAGGCAGATATGTCGTTGGCAGGATAAAGGGTAACTAACCGGCCCCACTTTTCTTTCCCAGGCAAAAAAAGGGACCCTCGCAAACGGGGGTCCGACACCCAAACACAATTGTATCTTTTACTAGGTACACCACATAAAAGGTACATATGAAATGTCTATTTTTCTCAACAATATTATATTAGAACCTTTTATTTGAAGTGTAGTACTAATATTCTAATACTATTCTAATCCTTTTATAAAATTTTAAGAGCAAATTTTAGGGACGCCTCTAAAGTTCCATTTCTTATACTAGGCGTATAATAGTGATTCGTAATACTAATAGAGGGCTCCCTAAAACCTAGGCTGAAAATCAAATATAGTATTCAAATAGAGCTGATTGTTTTATATGCTAAGTTATAATAAGCTTTCAATGACTTTTATAGTACTAAAAATCAGCATTTATGTATGTACCTTTTATGTGGTGTACCTAGTAAAAGATACAATTGTGTTTGGGTGATCCATTGCCTCGTTTGCGAGGGTCCCTTTTTTGCCTGGGAAAGAAAAGTGGGGCCGGTATCTACTTCTAGGATCTAGGGTGAAGGCCCACTATAGAGGGGCCTTTATGAGGAGTGACAGGGGGGTCTACACAATATATAATACTACTGCGAAGCAATTGCAACTAGTACTATATGTATTCAAACTAGTTAAACTCTGAACCACTTGTTTATGTTCCGAGTTCTACTAAATGTGCCGTAGACTAAGCGAGGTTATGATTTGGAATTTATATACCTCTAAGTGTGTTACGATATATCGTATCATGAGGCCATTCTACTAGTAATATATAACCATAACCTTGGAACCTAGATCCTATTAGTAATGCTAAGGAAGAAGAGCCTAAGAACAGAGACGTCGATTGATCACCGCAAAAGGACTATATAAACCATTTATATATATTAGTATTCACGGCGTACAGAAAGAAACAGCGCTGTTGAGGTTGAAAAATGAGTAAATAAAATTGTCCTAATTCTAGAACTTATTTCAACCCTCCAGCTAGGAGGAGACTTTGGCCTGTCATGTAACCAGTCCTCGCTAGCATAGTAACAACGTTCGCTGTTTCTTCTGGAGTTCCTAACCGCTTCAGAGGAATACTCTCCACCACTTCGGGGTATGCCGCGGCAGAGGAAAGCATGCCTGTATCGCCGATCATAGCTGGGGCGACGTCGTTGACACTAATGTTGTACTCTGCCAGTCGTGTTGATAGGTTCTTCATCATGCCGGTAAGACCGCCCTTGGAGGCTGCATAGTCTAGAATGGGGGATTGAATCAGCAATCGCCCCCAAATAATAAGAGGTTAATGGAAAAAGGGTAGTGGATTGACTTACGACAGCCGTTAATTCCTCCACCCTGAGCGGCGATGGAGGACATGAAGATGATCCGCCCCCACTTCTGGGCCTTCATGTGCTCTACCACACCTTTCACAAGAATGAAGGCAGCGCGGAGGTTGATGTTCATGGTGTAATCGAACTCCTCAAGCGAGATATCTGACACGTCGGGAATTCGCTTGCCATATCCGGCGTTTGAAATAAGAATGTCTGGTCGTTGGCCGTGCTCAACATCAATTTGTTGAAACATAGCCTGGATTTGATCGCTGGACCCAACATCAACCTGGTGGATTGAAATGTGTAGCTTCTGCGTGGGATTCTTGGAGTGTATATATGCGACAATGCTGTTCAAGGATGTCAAATTGGTCGAGTAAGTCAAGGCGAGATGAACTCCATGTTGTGCAAGTTGGTGTGCGCAAGCTGCACCAATCCTACAGTCGAAGAATTGACGCGAATCAGCTTCATGTCCTTGTACAAACGGAGGGCGACATGCCTACCCTCCCGATGCGCCGGTGATTACAGCCAATCTACCTCGAATGTCGTTAAATGCCATTTTTGCGAATATATGAAGTGGAAGTATACTAATCCGACAAGGACATTGAAGACAACATGAAAGAGGATATTGAACACCCTGCAGGCGTGGAATACTCCCCGTTATCAAAAGCTGTCCCTGGCAAACAGGCTGCAGGTCCTCGATTGCCACGCATAATACCCGTGGAACGAGTATGTTGTATATTTCATGGTAAGAAAAGTGGGTAGAGTGCATGTGGGTTCATCAATGAAGGAGCTCCTCCCAACGGTTTCAACGGCATAGATAATGACGACGCTATTCAAAGTCAACCTCGTTATGTGCCTGGCGTGTTAATCTTGGGTTCTGCATTGATTCTCCAATATTTTCTCTTTTGCAAAGATAGTCGCGTCCATGGCCGTTGTTGTTGTAAGGGGAGGTTGGGTTGTGGCCTGAGGCATTAACAGTCATTTCTTCCAGGCACGTGATGATATTTATCTTTTTTTTGGAGACAAAACGTCACCTATATGTTCATGCTACATATTGTCCAACATAAATTCAATCAAATATTCAGTTCATCGCCGGAGACTGCTCAAGGGCATTTGCACATGAAAAGCGTTGATTCCTCAAGTATCGACTCGGTGATTTTTAGCGCATCCTCAAGTACTCCGTACTACTGTCCGTACTACTGAGGCATTACGGTGGCGCCCCCGTGTCCCACATGGCTGATCCCCGCTATGGCTCCTACAGGGATCTAGCCAAGAACTATGAGAAGCAACTGGATACCCTGTTTGAACAGCGGATCTTCAAGCCGATCTTTCTATATCATGTTGTCATCCTTCACATTCTACCTTTGATAGGTCTGGTCATTCCTCGTAGTAGGGGCGGTCAATATGTTCGAAAGGGCCTTTTCGTCCTTTGTATTGCAATTGCAATTGAAATTCTACAAAACCGACGGGCAATCATCGGCGGAAATGGCTATATGCTTGGCCTGATTACTGCGTGGTGGTTAGTATGGAATACCACGTTATTTGTGTTTACAGACCTTGAACATGATTTCAAGCGCATTGAACGGAAACCTGTCGATATAAAGCCTCAAAATGATGCCAATATTGAACCTAGTACTGTCACAAAGTCACCCGACTTGAACAATCCAACATACACACAGTGGGACAGCACCCTTTTTGTTTGGCGGTCATATCCCGAAAAATTCTGGCATCGTCTTGAATGGTCCGCTGGACTGCTCTTCAATCTGAGGGGCCCAGAATGGAACTGGCGGGCTCCCCATCTGGGCCCTCTTCCACGACCAATTCACGACCAATTGTGTTCAGGATTCATGGATAGGATCAACGCACATGAACCCTCCACATATCCCAGCGGTAAACGCCGCCTACAGACTGCCTTTCGAAAGTTTTTCATATCTTACCTTGTGCTTGACACCTTGAAAGTCATAATCCTGATGCCGGATCCCTACTTCCGAGGCCTCAGTTCAGCCGATTCATTGGCACCATTTCCTTTCTTCTACTTCACAAATCTCAAATTGCATCCTGCCATGGCCCAGCTCTGTCAACGCCTATACAGCGCCATAAGTGTATATTTTGCTCTCGAGTTTGTAACCTCACTGAACCCAATCTTCTTCCTCGGGCTATCTCTCGCATTCCCCAACGGGGCTAAGAAGCTTACCGTGGCACCGTTGGGTGCTGCGTGGCTATATTCTGATGCATTCGGACCATTCTTCATCCCGGTCCTTGATGAAGGATTGGCGGGCTGCTGGGGTCGTTGGTGGCACCAAATTTTCCGCTACGGATTTGTTGCTTCGGCACGCTGGATCTTATCCATACTACCAGTCGGCTTAGGTTCCCATCCGCAAGTCCGTCGTGTCACTTACGTGATGGTGGCGTTCTGTCTCAGCGGCTTTGTACATGCCTGTGGAAGCCACACCCAGATTGCAGATACATCCCCCGTGCCCGGGACATTCCTATTTTTCGCTTTGCAGGGTGTTGCAATTATGACAGAGCAGTTTTTCAAGACGTCTATCTTTCCAAAATCGCCTTTTGCTGGTACGCCGAGATGGCTAAGACGAACGGCGAACTTTGTGTTTGTATTTTGTTGGTTGATGGCCTCGGGTGGCCTCGTTGCGGATGACTTTGCGAAGGGTGGCCTATGGTTGATGGAGCCTCTTCCAATTAGTCCACTTCGTGCATTGGGATTTGGGCTACAGGGCCAAGGTTGGTGGTGCTGGGATCAGCCCTGGTTTCGGTACTGGAGTGATGGTACATACTGGGGGAGTGGCATACGGGTGTTATAGAGTTAATAGATCTGAGATTTCATGTTACTTTCAAGATCATTGAAGTCATTGCATGTGCATAGAATAAATTACATGATCGACTGTTTATAAAACCTATAATTACATCGTCTAGCCTTCCATTGTGACATCGTCATCCTCTTCATCCGTGTCAGAATCAATATTCAAAGTGGGCAGTTCATCATCGCTATCATCGACAGCCTCCTCGGGAGCCTGCGAGGTCAAGGTCGTAGATGTGGTGGACACCTGGCTTGAAAGCTTCGGGGCCTCAGTCTTGGTGATTGCAGGAGCTGGCTGAGAGAAAGGCTGTTGGCTCGAGGTGGTTGGAATAATTTCGTCGAATCGTGCCTTCTTGCTCTGAACATCCTGCTTCTGGAACGTTGGCTCCTCAGCTGTGGGTTCCTCGGTGTAGGTCCGCTTGTGGAAAGTAGGCACCGGAGTTGCGGCCTTCGAAGGGTCTACATTCGGTACTTGCAGGGGCGCCGACACGGGTTGCTTCAAAAATTCGGCAGTCTTTGGGACGGCTTTGTATGAATCATCGGCCATGTCCTCATCTTCTGCTTCTTCGTCTTCGTCGACATAGGCGTCAAGCTCGGGCGCGGTCATCAGTACTGGCATCCTGGGACGGACCAGAGCCTCCACCTCCATCTGATCAGCGTAAGGTCTAGTCAAGAATGGAATGATGCTCGAGCCTGCTCCACGGCCCTTGACTGCCGGAACAGGGTTGAGTACGCTAGCAAACATCGCATCCTTGTCGGATGTCAAAATAATGGAGCGATCCATTTCAGTCCTGATGGAGGGCGGAACAAGCTCAGCGGGGATAGAAAGGAACACGGCCTGCAAAAGTCCGGATGCATTTTGCTGGACATCCAAAAACGGAGAGACAGCTTGTGTCTGGCGGGATTTCTGGAGATCAGGGTTCAAAAAGGCGTCCGCATTGGCTGTCCCTTGCCCGCCCTTTGACTTTGCTTTGGAGCCAGAGCCTGAATTGCCCGTGGAGCTAGAATCCCCAGTCGGCGGCAATACATCATTGCAGCAGGAGCGTAGGACGTTGGTCAAAGATAACACGCTCTGTTTCGTCATCGCAGGTCCGTTCACCGGCACCAGAGAACGAAGCAAACCATAGACTGCGGAGCGCAGGTCTCTATTGAAGCTTTCTCCCTTGAAAGTCCAGACAGCCTGCTCTAGGATAGTCTGCGTTATTGAGGTTGCGCTGGTCGCCAAGATACCGACAACGTTGGAAAGCAAGCCCATGCATGCAATGTGAATGCGAGGCAGCTCCATCCAAAGTGCCTCTCGTTCGTCACGGCTAATTTCCTGGTTGGACTGAATGCCAGATTGAGATGCGGCGCCATTGGTTGGAACAGTGACAGAAGTAAGTCGGGAGGTCAGATCGAGGATAGAACCCATCGGAAGGGCAACTGCAGCTGCGGATGGCATCGAGATAAAATCAGAGAGAATCTGCAGAAGTGCAACCAACCTATCCACGCCCGAGTGAAGTCCACTCCAGCCTGGAAGACCAAGACCATCCGGGCCCCCGTCACCCATTTCTTGACTATAGTTTGGCCGTGTGTGCATCAGAGCCGCATCAACGGACTCCCACTGCTCTACAACGGCCCGGAAAACGTGGTCTGTGGTTCGGTGGATGGACAAAATCGTCGATTTGCAATCATCTTTCCATCCAGAACCCGCCTGGTCCTTGGGTGCGCACTTGTGGAGAGAGACAAGCAGCTGCTCTGCTGCGTCGATCACATGCCCCGGGAAATACGCAGGCGAAGAAGATCCAATTACTTCGGCGAGAAGAGTTCGGAGCTGAGCACCAAACGGACGGAAGATGGTGATATGCCTTGGGATCAATTCCAGCAAGGCGTGCAGCACAATTTCCATGAATGGAGTGTTGGGCTTCGGCTTTCGGATTGAGCCCGAGGGGGTCTTCGTGATGGTAGAGACCAAATTCAAGGCAGCGGTAATGAATCCTGGAAGCTGCGGGGTTGTGATCTCACGGACAAGTGTTGGGTACTGGTATGTGAGATGGAAAATGCGAGTTAGGGTGATAATACACATCTTTCTCGTGGAAATTGGATCGGGTTTCTAGAAACGCATAAGTCAATGGAGCTAGCATGGATAATGGAGCTCAACTTAATCCATACCGCAAGGATGCTGATCAAGCTGCGAACAATAGGCTCATAGCCGCGCAGGATTTCCCATTGACCGGCTTCAACTGTAGCTTTCACCAGAACAACGGCGGTCCATCTTCCCTCGACACTACGGTCCTGCAACAGACTCGCCAGTCTAGTCTTCAATTTGTGGATCTGGACAGCATTATCGGAGTCCGGTTTGCCAGATTTCTGGGTTTGAGGGGTAGAGAGCAGCTCAGCGCAATCGCTCAATGAAGTCGCAAGGAACGAAGCTATCGAGGGTAGTTGCTCGACCGGAGTGGTTATCAGGCGATGCGTGACGGCGCGTAAAGTAGTGGAGGACATGGCGATTGGAACAGACCTATAATAATAGGTCTTTGACTCGAAAATCTGTCCAATTGATAGAAAATGAGTGCAGACAACAGGTGAGAGTCTTATCGATAACTTTTTTTTTCATCAAAAAGCTCGGACCAATCCCAACTGTCAGTGTTAAATTACCGTCACGTATGTAATCGCTCTCCACCCCTGGACGATCATCGGGCTTCAGCGTGACGACCTCGGGACGCTGGCGAAGCTTGATTGCTCTTCCCTTCTTATATTCACAACTCTCCTGAACCATGGCTGTAAGTGTCTGTCTTGTACCTCCTTCAACACGTGCTAGTTTATATTTCTTCTAAATCATTGATACCACCCAGTATTTATGTTGACACGTGCGAACCAGGGAGGCAATGCCGAGAAGGGGCAGGCCTACATCGCGGCCTTGGACCAGGCGCGGAGTCAGGGCAAATGGGATGAGCTCCCCGAATTGATTCGAAAGGTCACAAAACATGCACCGCAAAGGACTTGTACGCCACCGGCCCCTAGTTTCTTGATCCCAGTCTAACCCAGCTGTTTCTAGGCCTAATACAGACCGCAACAGCGGAATTGCGTGTGATTGCATATCTTCAACAAAAGTCCTCCGGCGACTCATCTTCTTCCTCCCCGAACCTTGCCGAGTTGATACCAGCCCTATTGATGACAATTGAGAACAATGACGGGTCACCACAAGAATTATTGCAAGCGCAGGTATGTTTGGGGTGGATACACTGGGCTTTGGATGAGCCTGGACTTTCGGCAGGGCGTCTCCCTAAGGATTTTGCGGCAACGCTTGATAGCTTGGCCAGTGGGGGAGAGCAGCCTACTTCGTGGACCGAGGTCTGTTTAGTGAAGGGGTGCTACATCAAGGGTATGTTTACTTGTTTACTTCCAGATGTAGTTAGTTCTGGATCTGACAGCAAGACAGCAACCGCACAATCTACCGCTGCAGACATTAATGAGACACTGGAGACATTTGCATCTCTAATTCCATGGCTAAGCGGCGGCAAATTAGCCTCAATCACCACCCCGCAATTTTTGAACTGGTCCGAGTTACTTCTGGGCAATGGTGCTCTTTTGGCCAGCATTGAAGTGACCAAACACACACCCTATTCGGACCCTAGGCATGCAGGTATTGCCTTGCAATTGCTCAGGCTGTGGGCGGCTCATCCTGCTGTGAAACAGGGGGGGCTCTGCTACCAACTCATCGAGTGTGGATACCTTCAGTCTAGCTCCCCGAGCATCAGTATGGGCTGCTTATTACAGGTTTCTCACAGCAGTCCTACAGGACGGGGTTACATACACAGGCCCCAACGATGGACCAGACCGCCCGCAACTCTGCAGTGAATTGCGCCGCATAGAGACTATCTACGAACGTAATCTTCTCTCTGAAGTCATGTTTCCTACAGCCAGCTCGCTGAACTCTCAAGTCGAGGAATGGGTGGAGCAAGTGATCAGGAACTGGCAAGTCCTGTGTGGTCCTGAGTGGCAGGATTCGGACGTCGGCGAAGGAGGCCAGAGTGCGGTTGGTCGGGGTGTTTTAGAGGTGAGTCCAACAACAGATCCCACCAAAACACATTTACTAACACTGGTTGTCCTAGATTCTGTACCGGGCAGCGACAAAGACCTACCACTCTCATTTGGTACTCCGACGTCTCTTCCATGTTCATTCTGCTTTAGCAGACTTTGACCTCGCTGTGAAAGCGCTCGATTCCTATATTGAGATTGTCATTGCAGCCAAAGAAAGAGCAGAGAAGTCTGCCGAGTCCGGGGAGCTGGAAAAGGATGAAGTGTTGCTGCAGACGCTCTCCGAAGGAGTTACATTATTAAGCTGCGTTGGCTCATTGGAAGAGGCAGAGAAGGCCCGAGATCTGACTGAAATAATACGAGAGTATATTGACAAGCACAATACGCCTCCCACGAACGGTCAGGTCAATGGCGATTCTACTAACTTGCCAAACATCCCTCCTTCCGTTCTGGCCTCCTCCTACCGAGCTGTCGGCGTTGGACTTGCGTGCTGGGCAAGCTGGACTCCTGTGAATGAATCACGCGATGATATCAGAGCCGATGCGATTGAATACCTCGAAAAGAGTCTTGCTCCAGAATTGGGAAGTAACTCAAACCACTCCTCACTTTACACCTTGGGCCTTGTCTTGGCCGAGAACAGAGATTTGGACACTGCAATTGACTATGTTAAGTCAGCTCTGACGCCAAGCAGTTCGTCTACTGCGGTATCTGATGATCTTTCTAAAGAACGTGACTTGGTATCTCTGTGGCATCTGCTTGCGCTCCTGCTGAGTGCGAAACAAGAGTTTGAGATTGCCGGGCGTTCATGTGAGGCTGCATTTGAGCAGTTTCCCCGAGAATTATTCTCGAAGGGTCATCGGGAACGGCGTTCACCGAGGCATTCGCAAAACCTCAACCAGCGCCCGCTTGTCAGCAGATTGCAAGGTAGAGAAAAAGAACGCATCGTCCAAACCCGCATTACACAGCTTGCGTTCATCGAGCTCCTAGAAGGGCCCGAAGCTGCTGTCAACCACAGCACACAATTACTGGGGCTTTTTGGCACTCTTTTCCAGGACCTGAACCTCGAGTCTGGGGAGACCAAATCCAAGGCAGACCACCTAGTACCACCGAAGAGCTCTGCCGGGACTACCAAGAGCTTCCGTGGAAGTATTTTCGCCCGAAACAGAACGACACAGTTACCAGATCGCCGTGCTGATCAGAGTAATGGTTCTGATTCCATCATCCCACCCACCCCAGCTATTCCCAATGGTCATGTGGCGGATGCCCCGTCAATCCAAGTCACGGACGAAGACCCTCACAGCCGCCAGGGAAGACCGCCAACGATTGGGAGGGCAGACTCCAAGAAACTGAAAAAGCGAAGTTCAAGCGTCCATAAAAACGAGAGGCCGCGTGTTGAAGAGCCTCCGCTTCCTAATGGGGGTGAAACACCCGCAGAAACGGTCGGCATGGCATTTTCTGGCAACAAACCAGAGTCCGCCATCCTTCCTAACAAAGGCAAGCAGTCACTGCCGGCCATGGCACACAACATGAATTATAAAGAACAAGCTCCCCCTGCCGGCCATGAGGAACAACCCCTAAACAGGATATCCGGCTCCCAATCGGTCACCGTTTCGACTCTCCCACAAGCGCCGTCACGAAGTTCTCTCTAGTTCAATCACAGAAGCAGGCCTTAGGTCTTCTCGTTAAAATCTGGCTTGTTATAGCTGGTCTTTATCGCCGAGCATCACTATACGACGATGCGCGTGAAGCTTGCGAAGAAGCTTCGAAACAAGCCGCGCGAGTAGAAGCACTTGTTGCATCACATGAATCTTCAGCTCGTTCTTTTAGCAAGCGTGGCTGGGGTGCTTCAAAGAGCTCTGAGGAGCTCTGGGCTGATGTCTACGCGGAACAGGGTCTCTTGTCCCTGGCTCGATCAAACCCCCATCAGGCCATCAAGCACTTCGAGGCAGCCCTTCTGCGCTACCAAGATCACCCAACGGCGACCATTGGACTCGCCAATCTTCTCTTGGACATCTGGGATCAAAAATTGACACCCGAGCCATTGAATGCCGACGTGGATCTCAACGTCTCACGTCTGTCATTACTGTCAGAGACTCCCAAGCCCCAGTCCGCGAAGGCTATCTCAACCGACGATCTTAAGGTATCAAGCAAGACCGAAAATGTGGGCCCCGAAGATGCCCCTCTATCTGCACAAGATGTCGAGCCTAAGCAACTGCACCGACTCGCGGCCCGCGATCGCGCCTATGGGCTTCTTTCGGCGTTGACAAAGCTCGGCAGCTCCTGGGACAACTCCGAGGCATGGTATGCTTTGTCGAGAGCATATGAGGCTGGTGAGCAGGTCGAGAGGCTGAAAGAAGTGCTTTGGTGGTGCATTGAACTGGAGGATCGACGGCCAATCCGGCACTGGTCTAATATCGGCACTGGTGTCTATGTCCTCTGATTAAGGCGAAAAAAAAAATCCTCTATCTTCTTGTATCTACTTCATTTGCCCCCCTCTAGCAACGGATTTTTTTTTCAACGAGATACCTTGTTTATACCATGAGGGCTACCATTCTCACTACAATTCTCATTGAAGCGCAATCTTGGAAACGGACTTTCTTCGTAAAAAAATAAGCACTACTGGCAAAACGACTTTATATACATTTCCCAAATCGACAAATGAATTGCCAATGGGCTGAAAAGAGAGAACGGGATCAGATCAACAGCAAGACAAGTGGATTGATTCTGCTACTGCAAATAAATCTACCGCGGAGCAGCGGTGGGAGTCCAGGCAGTGATCTTGGGCCGGGTGCTAGAGTAGCGTTAGTCGATGGACGAGAAAGAGTGAAATATCTCGCACGGAAACATTGCACGTACGTGGAGTAAGTCTTGAATGCAGCGCGGCTCAGAGTTGGGTTGGGGCGGTGGTCGGACAGCTCCCAGGGACGGAAACCGGACTGCATGATCTTGTCGGCGGTTGGGGGCCCGTCGACGAGGTAGGAGATCCAGGCGTGCCTTAATATAATTAGTTCCGCATCATCTCATGTGCATTGTCAAGCCAATGTTTCAAGAGAAGCTCTTACCAGCCGGGCTCAATGTGGGATGCGTCGTATTCGGCCTCCTTGTAGTCGACCCATCGTGTTCGGACTAAAAGGGGAAGTACCGTTAGAACTTCATGTCTTAATGTGATAATATGAGCTAAAGAGTCTTCTTACGAGGCAATTCCTCCAGGTTCTCGAAGTATTTGTTGCCGAATCGGTCGGTTCCGATCAGAGTTCCGGCCTTGGTATCACCTGTAAGAGCGTGGATTGTTAGTGAACTGCTAAGCAGACATGGATGGAGTGGAAACTGTACCAATGTTCTATATCACAGTGAATAAGGACATAGGTTAGTCTCAAGCTCATTCAATTGACCTGCTGTTCCGGGAGAGGCGTCCGTAACCGTACCTGCATCTGGTGGGCGGCATCCTGTACAAGCGTGTTAGCACCCGAGTTTCTATAGATAATAGATCGCGGTTATACGAACCTTGAAGCCGACCCGGCGAAGGTTGCGCAGCGTCCTCACAATAGTCGACATCTTTGCTGGTATATTGTGCTAGAGCGAATGGGATGCGAGATATTGGCGATTTGAGGTTGCAGGAAGGCGGTGTGTTTGCATTGTTTGCACTCCGCTCTACCATGGATATCCCGATTCAGAAAACCCTCGATCTTGGATATTCTTCAAACATGTTCGGTCGCATTAGAGGGCAAACGCTTCGTTGCGCTGCCCGCCGCCCAGTCGCGCGTCGGAGACTGTGTGCTCGCCAATTTTCTGCGCATACTGGCACAGGAGCTACGACTGCAGCACCCGCTCCTTCACCTCTAGCAGGAATCACCGCGGAGCTAGACCGCATTGCTCCCCGATTCGAGGTGCCTGCGTCTCAGATTCATATCATCGACTCTCCGGCCAATTTCTACTCTACATTGAAGGTGTGCTCTGTTCTATGGGACTTTTCGAAAGAATTAGAATTAACTCCCAGTCCCGCAGAATAAAATCCGCAATGCCCGGCGGCGCATTTACCTCTCTACATTGTACATCGGCAAGACAGAACACGATCTTGTCGACACCTTGAGCCAAGCTCTCCGCAGTAATCCGGATCTCAAAGTTTCTATTCTCACGGATGCTCTGCGCGGCACACGAGAGACCCCGAATCCTTCATGCGCATCGCTCCTTTCCTCGTTGGTTGAAGAGTACGGACCTGAACGAGTCGAGATCCGGATGTTCCATACTCCCAATTTGACGGGCCTAAGAAAGAAGTGGATCCCTTCTCGCATCAACGAGGGTTGGGGCTTGCAGCATATGAAGTTGTACGGGATAGACGACGAGATCATTCTATCGGGGTATGTTATCTGCGGACCAGCACAAACGTGGGATATTAACATATCTGCAGAGCAAACCTATCCGAGGAATACTTCACCAGCCGCTTAGATCGATACCATGTGTTCGACTCCAAGGTACTGACCGAATATTACGCTGGAATTCACCATGCAATCTGCAGTTTGAGCTTCCAGGTGCTGCCGGACCCTCAAAACAAATCCAGCTATATTTTGGACTGGCCTTCCACAAACAAAGCCCCCTCTCCTCTTGACGATCCTCAAAAGTTTATTGCATATTCTTCGACGTTTTTGAGCCCGATCATTCAGGCTTCTGACAACAAACCTGCACTTCCCTCCTCATCAAGTCAAACCTACGTCTACCCTGTGTCGCAGTTTACTTCTCTCATGCAACCTAATGACACATCTACCGAATACCCCGCCGTGACGACCATTCTCCATCTCCTGTCAAGCTCATCAGTCTTTGCCGGTGCCCGTTGGCTTTTCACAGCAGGTTACTTCAACATGCACCCTGTCTTTTCTTCCCTCCTAATTTCCAGTACAACCACCGCCTCGAAGACTCCTACTACCACGAAAGGTACCGTTCTGACAGCCTCACCATGGGCAAATGGATTCTTTGGCTCCTCTGGAATCTCGGGAATGCTGCCAGCCGCATACACGCACCTTTCTGCCCGGTTCCTTGATCGCGTCGCCAACGCACACGCCACGGAATCTATTCAACTGAAGGAGTGGCGCAAGGGCACTGTTGGTACGCCCGGCGGATGGACCTACCATGCCAAGGGTCTGTGGATTACACTGCCGCGCGAGGAACACCCCAGCCTCACATTCGTCGGTAGCAGCAACTACACAAAGCGCAGCTACAGTCTAGACCTTGAGTCTGGTGCGGTGGTTGTGACGAACGATCCAAACCTTAAACAGAAGCTAGGTGAAGAGACGGAGCGGCTTCAGAAAGATGCCAACCCAATCTCGAGAGATGACCTGATGCGAACAGAAAGGCGAGTCGGATGGAATGTGAGACTTTCCATGTGGATTGTAGAGAAGGTTGGCGGCGCCTTCTAATCTTCTTGGTCTTTTGTATAAATATCACTTTGAAAATAATAGAACCTGTAATATACTGGGGTATAGATTGATGTGATGGCTGAGGCTATCACACCATCTAAGAATATCATCTGAGTCATACACTATGAGTCCATCCCTCCTATTTTACACCAAAATCACCTTAGAATAACCACGACCTGAAATACCTCCATGTCTATCCAAGAAATTGGCTCAAAAGCCTGGTTCGGCTTCGATCTAGATGACACCCTCCACGAATTCCGACGAGCCTCGGCCAATGCCTCAGTCTGCGTCTTCGAAACAATCCACGCATCAAACAACAAAATCAGCGTAAAGATCCTCAGAAACACATACCAAGATATCCTGCGCAGTGCAACCGCAAATGCCTTCACAGATGGCAGGATCTCAAGCGAATACTTGTGCGAACGGTTCGGGCGTCTTCTCCAAGCACACGGGCTCATTGATGACTCTCTGTTGGATCGTCTGTTAGAGGTATATCGAGACTCTCTACGCGAGAACTTGACTCTCAAGACGGGCACATTGCATCTTTTGCAGACTTTGCAGGGACTGGGAAAGAAAGTCATTGTCATTACTGAGGGCCCGACGGATGCGCAGCAGTGGACGGTCCAAGAACTCGGGATACAGTCTTACATCGATGTCCTTGTGACGTCGAACGAGGTCGGGAAGTCTAAGGTGGATGGGCTGTTTGGTGTTGTACTGGAGAAATATGGTATCGCCGCTGAAGATATCGTATACTTCGGTGATAATGGGATTCGCGATGTTCAGGCTGCAAGGGAGGAGGGGATCCTGGCTGTTCTTTATGATGAAAAAGAGCAGTCTCGCCTGTATGATGCCAGTGGATTACGAGTAAATTCGTGGGCTGTTATAGAAAAAGTACTCGTCCATGGAGAGTAAGGATATACAATAGAGCATCGAGACATAAACATAACTTTTGGTCTAGCCATCAAGAGATATCAACCCTAACGCACAGGAATGCCGTAATAAAATAAGTAATAAAGAGCCAAACGCCATGTCATGACTGGGAATTCCCGTCGTCTCATATGCAGTGCAAATCTTCATCTAAGCTCTTCCGGGCACTTTGGCCTTCTCGGCTTGAACTCGAGCTGGGCCGAGACCGGATCGCACCTCGTCGAGCATTCTGATGCCAATGGCCTCGTTACCGTTCTTGCCACGCTTGTGCTTGGCGCCATGTCGCTTCGCCTGTCCACTGGTGTTGGGGTCCCAGCTGGAGAGGAAGTCGTCCATGACGTTGTTGAAGGTGCTGCGGCTGTGCACGGCTTCGCCGTTACCATCGATCAGACTGGGGGCCTCAGATGATGCGGTGGACATTCCCGTCATGCCGGTTGCGCCTGTCATTCCGCTGATCATTGACATGCTGTCATCGTATTCATCTTCCTCGTCAAGGGAGTAAAGCTGCTCAACTTTGTCGAATCGGTCGTCAAGGAGACGGTGACCAGCAGTACGAGCCAGGGCGGACGACGACATCGAGTACGCAGACGGGTTGGTCAGAGCACCCTTGCGCTTCTTCCGGCGAATCGGCGTTCCGCCAGCAGTGAAGACGGTCGATGCCATCGTCTGTGATGCTGCGATTGTGGGTGCAGCCGGTGCGGGAGCATTGCCGGCCTTGGCATCTTTCTTGAACTTGGCGAACTCGTTCATCCAACTCTGGTCAGTGGGCTCCATATCGGGAGCTGGCTCATCGTGTTCAGGCATCTCGCCGGGTTCCATTGGTGGCTTCACAGGCCCCTCGGTGTCCATTGAGCGATGAGCCTCGGTGCTGTCTGGCTGTACAGGCGCTTTCTCCGTAGCATCCGACTCCCATCCATCATCTTCAACATCGTCGTCGAATAGAGAATCCTCCCAGTCGCCCTCGTCTAATTCCTCCGCATTGGCTGTTAATTCACCAAAGATTCCGTCAGCGTCGCCCTCCTCCACGAAGGCTTCGTCCTCCAGCGCCTCCAATGCCTCTCGTAGGCGCGGGTCCATGTCAGGCTTGAATCCGGCAATTGCG